GTGTGGACTGTGAGGAATAATTATTTGTCTTGATTGAAGAAGAACTCTAATTATGTTTTTAAATGTTATTCATGATAAAACAGTAATACAGAAAGACAATGTATGTGTACTGTCATAACCCTAATGTAGTACACATAAGCAATCAAAGCTAGTAAGCACTACCTAGACTAGTGGGGCATCATAAATAATATAACAATACATATGTTATGTTAGAGACAACATGGGAATGGCCAAGCAGATCCACCACCAGCCCAAAGGCTTCTGGGTCTCATCAAGACTCAGGTAATATTTGCACTAGGGCTTGAAAAGGGCTTTTAGGTACAGCAAACTATTGGAAAACAGTTAAAGCAAGTGTTATTTACGCTTAGATCCAGCTGTCCACACCTGCCCACAGAGGTTTGGGCAGTTTACACAGCTTTCACAGTTTACACAGTTTGCATCTTATATTCAAGATCCAGCCTAATGAAATGTTGACATTCACAATCATGTTTAGATTATATATCCAACATATGTTAATGCTAAATAATGTACTAGGACCAATAAATCAAGATTTGCCCATTTTGAGATATTATAATTTTTTGCTGATAACTTTACCTGCTTTGGCGAATAATGGTTACATTTGTAAGTGTGTATAGGGATATACAGTGCTGCTTGAAAGTTTGTGAACCCTTTAGAATTTTCTATATTTCTGTGTAAATATGACCCAAAACATCATCAGCTGTTTCATGCAAATCATGAAAGTAGACAAAGATAAGCCAATAAAACAAATGAGACAAAAATCTATGCTTTGTCATTTATTTATTGAGAAAAATGATCATGTTACATATCTGTGAGTGGCAAAAGTATGTGATTCTTTGCCTTCAGTATCTGGTGTGACCCCATTTTGCAGCAATAACTGCAGGTAACGTTTCTTGTAACTGCTGATCAGTCCTGCACAATGCCTTGTTGGAATTTTAGCCCATTCCTCAGTACAGAATGCTTCAACTCTGTGATGTTGGCGGGTAGATGTCCTGGCATTTTCCTGTAGAATTTGCTGATATAATTCAGAATTCATTGTTCCAAACAGGCCCAAACCATGATACTACCACCACCATGTTTCACAGATGGGAAAAGGTTCTTAACCAGAATGATAGATCCCTTTTCTTTAAATAATACAGTGCAGGCAATGACACTTGATAATCATCTCATTGATTCAAAACACCTCTGAACAGATGGACTCTAATTTTGCCTTCAAATTAACAGTTAATCCTAGAGATTCACATACTTTTGTCACTCACAGATCTGTAATATCGGATAATTTTCCTGACTAAATAAATGACAAAGAAAATATTTTTTACTCATTTGATTGATTGGGTTCTCTTTGTCTACATTCAGGACTTTTTCTATATTATGCAGAATGCTTTTATATAGAAAATTCTAAAAGGTTCACAAACTTTCAAGCAGCACTGTATATAGGTGAGAGGACATGGTGGACAGAGGTAAAAAAGGGACATGGTGGACAGAGATGTGGAAGGAGGATGTGATTCAGGTGCAGAAAGAATGCAGTGTGGACAGAGACAAAGGATGAAGACAGAGTGGACAGATATGTAGGGAGAGGATAGAAATGTATAGAAAGAGAGATGGTGAATAGTGATGTAGATGGAGGATGAGAGAGAGTACAGTGTGGACAGAGACAAAGGAAGAAGACATGGTACACCAAAATGTTTGGAGAGGACAGAGTCGGCAGATGTGTTGGAAGAAGACATGTGGACATAGGCACACAGTAGGAATACAATGTGGAAGGAAGAGGACATTACAGACAAAGCTACAGAAAGCGAGAGGACATGGTAGACAGTGATGTAAAAGGAAGATGTTATAGAGATGTACAGAGGGTACAGTGTGGACAGAGACAAAGGATGAAGACATGGTGGACAGAAATTGTGAAAGAGGACACACTGTAAAAAGTAATCACTGAATCTACTTAAGAAAAGCGAGTAAACATAACTGATTAGATAGATGTGTCGGGAGAGGACACAATTGAAAGCGAGAGGACATTATGGACAAATGTACAGAAAGAGAGAGGACATGGTGGATAATGGTGTAGAAAGAGGATGTAGAGAGAGTACAATGTGTACAGAGACAAAATTAGAAGACTTGGTGGGCAGAAATTTTGGGAGAGGACAGTCATGTAAGAAGAGGACCTGTGGACACAGGTGAAGATAGAAGACATTATGGACAAAGATATAGAAAGAGAGAAGAAATGGTGGACCAAGGCACAAGATGTGACATAGTGGACTAAGGTTTAAATAAAAAACATGTTGGAAGATAACAGGCTAAGAATCAGAGACATGAGAACAGCAGTGGGAAAAAGAAAGTCCCAGTGTTTCAGAAGACTGTAGTCTGTGTATCAAAGGCTTGATGTCAATGTTTATAACAGGGAAGGCCGGCTCAATAATGCTCTGACTCTGTGTGTTTCTTCAGCCCTGATGGAAGGAGAGGGACAGCTCAAGGAAGAACCGTATTGTGCCACAGCCTTTGTCATAATAATCACTCACCACCAGTGTTGGGCAAGTTACTTCCAAAATGTAATACATTATATATTATTAGTTACTGTCTGAACATTGGCCATCTGTGAGACGTGGGTCCTGACTCAGTGATGTGATTTCTACTTGGACATAATGCATTATCTTCAGTGTTGGGAGTAACGCATTACAAAAGTAATAATATTACAGTAGTATATTACTTTTTGCTGTAACACAGTAATATAACGCATTACTAATAAAATTTGGGTAATATTATTACTCGTTACAATCTCAGTAACGCAAGTTACAACAACATATTTTAACTGAAAATTAAGTGATGAATTTACCAACACCGCAAAACAGCACCAGAGAAAAAATTCCGAAAAATAGTTAGTCTATTTCCTGTTGCTGGAATTAGATGGTTGAGATGACTGCAGAGACGGATTCTACATTTGTGAGATGGGCACACTCCTGTTATTTTCAGTTCATCGGAGAAAAGGATAAGAATGCATAGTCAGGTGCAATATGTGCGACACCAAACTCTCAACATGGAGAAATAGCACGAGTAAAACCTGGAAACACCCGGACTGGTGCCACTAATGCCGGATTCAGACTACACAATATTTTTGTTGGTCACGATAGTCACTGTCAGATTTCACGATTTTGACTCCTAAAATCTTGTCGTGTCGTGGACAAGACACATGTCAGACTACACGTTGCTTCCCGACCATTCATAGCGTGCCGTCTTTAACGACGCTTTAACGGCGTTATGTCATCGAGAAGGCGGAACTAGCGACTGACTTCCGAAAACAAGAGTGTAAACACTGCTGAAGCGCTTCCGCTATAGTTTGCCAGCATTTTTCTTTCTTTGTTCTGTCGTGGTAGTCCCTCGATGACACATCATACAGGCAGGAGTACTGTTGCCACAGCTCCACGAACCTTTCCTCAATCTCATAATTCCACCTAGCAACACCATCATCTCTCTTTCGTTTTGCCATGTTTGAAACCTGTGTATGAAATTCTGTGCTGCTATTGGTCAACGTCACCAATGTGACAGAACTGGTCGTGGATGACGGAAAAAAATTAAACATGCTAGTCTTTCTGTCGTGATGTCGTGTAACTTGCCCAACACTGATTATCTTGCACATTATCTTCAGTGTGGTGTCAATAAGTGTTTATTAAGCATGCTTCAGCGCTCACATAAGCTGATGAATACATAAAACTATTGACATAAAAATGTTGACTGCTGTCTAAAACATGCCCTATATTGTGTAAGTATCGGGCACTTCAATCTGACTTTTATGAGCTGCGGGTTGCAGAGGAAATCGTGCAAAAATGTGAATGATTGTGCATTTATACCATTTTAGAAATATGAGACATTTAAGTTTGTTGGGGATCTTAACTAATATTTACATACTTTTGGCATGATATGCAAAAAGTGTGCCACCAGTCACAGCAGTGTTTCCCATACTTCTTTTCAGCAGCATCGCTCCTCATAGGCTGCATGCAAAAACAAACAATAGCACAATCTGTGTAGTCCAATTCAAATCACTGTTTGAATTGGTTCCTTTTAATGAGTTGTATAGTAATAGTCAAAATAGTCACATACTCAGTTACTGGTTTAATCAATTTGACAGTTCCATCACTGAACAAACTCTCTAAATCTATGAGAGTGGATAATGAATCAATTTATGTCAATGCATCATTTCTTTAGTTAAATCATTCAGCTGATACTTGCTCTTCCACCATGAAAGCAAAATAAATTATCTCTTTATGTGCAATGTATCAATGAAATTGATTAGTAGGCAACCCTCTGGTTATCAGTCTTGAGCTTTAATCACTATATCACACCAACATTTATACATGGGAAACCTTTGAAGTTAACGAAGACTCACTTCCTGCCACTTATGTTGCAGTAAATGGACGTCAGCTTCTTGGAGCCTCTGGACATGTGCTGGAGCGTCCAGATGTGTCCCTGAGGAAGACCAGCCTCAGCAACCAGGTACAGTCCCATTCTGAGCTATCACCCACTTATATATTGAGTAAGGCATAATATAACTTTAATCTTCTGTGGAAAATCTGTGGAATAATTCCCAGTATGAAGTGCAAACAGTTTACAAATACCAAATGATTTGGTCTTCCATCACTACTTGGATTCGGACAGAAATATGTGAGTCAGTAGATCTGGTGCCATCTGCGCCAATCTGGGGACAGTAACAGTTAAAGAAACTGGTGAAGCAGGGCCAAGTAAAACCCTCCCTATCCCACGTGACAAGGGCAGCTCGTGTCATCAGCAAATGGGAGTGGCAAGGAGTAGGCCATATGGCGTGCTGTTGTTTTGTTGTTTGCCCAGTTCTGGATCCTAGTACGCAGTTAGAGTTTGATCTCAGGCCAGGATTGGAAAGGTGTTGGGTTTAAGCGGAGCTGGGAAGGGTTAGACGGAGAAGACAAGGGACGCTGGGAGAGTCTAGGGTGCCGAACAGTTGCTGAACGGGACTGGGTGAGCGGCAAGGAACGGAACCACAAGTTGCGGGCCGGTGCTGACATGTTCTGCAGGATGGTAAGACAGAAAATGAGATTTTGCATGTTCGTTAGCTCCTCGTTGTACTAAGTACTATGCATGCTGGTTCTTTGGCCATGTACCAGCCATGTTTTTTATTGGAAAGATGGAGTGCGTGCAAATAAGTGTACAGACGCTCAGCACACAATGCAAACAAACGCGCTATGCTAGTACAGTTAAGCACAGAGGGGAGGCAGCGTAGTTTGATGCATGCTGGGAGATGTTTGCTTATACACACGCTAAGCACACAGTCTGCAACACCTGCTCACACAAGGATGGTGATGCAGCGTCTGCAGCTTAAAATAAGGCGCATAATCATACTCGCACTCACCAGCCTTGGACACACACCTCTCAAAGCTCTAACACTGATGTAAAATGAATACAGATACCTTGAAACATCAGCCTGTCTGAAAGATAAGCTCACGCCAGCACTCACACACACACGCACACGGTGAGAAATGGCTTTGTTTTCACAGGTCATGTGGTTTGTCTCTGCTGACAGCGTGCTGTTGTTTGCAGCTTACCTCCAATGATAATTAGCCCCATTTCACCACTCCTCCATCTCTCTCCTCCCCTCCTCTCTGCTCAAACACACATATGCTGTAGAGAATGAAGGGGGTGTGGTGCCATTTGAGTAAATCCTTTCCCTCCCGTCATTTTAACACTCTGTTCTCTCCTATTTTTTTACCTCTCTTTTGTTTATTTGTAGTTATTCATATTGTTATTTAAATTTGCGGTCACACACTGTCGCTTTAGATATTGAACTTTAGCTTATTGCTCACCCCGCACCATGTGAATGAGACCTCAATTATAATGCTGATTGTTGAGGGAATTTGTGTCATTACTTTTCTGAGACATCAGACTTACAATCTTTACTCCAGGAGAACCAATAAACTGGTTAAAAAAAAAAAACAAACATAGATTTGAAGGAGGGGCTAGAGTCATATCTAAAGCCCAGAATATCATAGAGACTGGGGGTGGGTTCTTTGACTTGGACCAGTAAGCAACTGCCTAGCAACCATTCAGAACACCCTAGCAACCGCATAACAGCATGCTAAGAGCTGTTTTATCTGCTGTTCTCTACCATCTTTCTTAGGCATATACAGCTCCTTATATATATATATATATTTTTTTTTTTTTTTTTTGGACTTCTTGTTTTCTTGAGTGAATTCTACAAAGAAACCTTTAACCAGTATTTTACCCCAAAAACAAGAGAAAAAAAAGTAAAATATGTTTGTTTTTATATTAGATAAGAACATAAACCCCATTTTGGATGTTTATTTAAGATTTCAGTTTATGTATTTGCTTTTTTTTTCTCATTGTGACTTTTCATGACAATTAAGCACATTTACCCCCAAATTATCATTACTCTTCTGTAGGAGAAAAACAAATTTTTATAAAATTTCATTACGGTAATGAAATCACCCTGACATAACACAATGTTTTGTTTAGTTTTGCATTTTTCTTTTCTTTTCTTTTCTTTTCTCTTCTTTTCCATACCATCACTTAAAATATGTACACTACCATGAAAGGTAAACTTTGTTTTCATGACAATTAGACACATTTTCTCCAAAATTCTTATTACTGTTCTTTGGGGAAAGAATCACATTTTTCATCCTGATTCCACATAATATTTTATTTTATTTTATAATTATTTTTTTTAAAAACACATTTTTATTTTTACTAAAATGTACAGTAATAAATATCGCCCTGATTCCACAACACTGTTTTTATTCATTTTATTAGCATAACTTAAAATACATACACTGCCATGAACTTTGTAATTTGCTCCTCCTATTCTTGAATGTTTTGTTATATTTAAATAAAAAAAACATTAATAAATTATTTTTCAAATTGTAGTAACATAAATTTTTTTTACATTACAGTAAACGGTATAAGACTTTTTATTATTATTTATATTTTTTGCATTACAGTGAAAAGTGTGCTATTAAAAATAAAATACTGCAAAAAGAAAATGCTAATGGTCCTAAAAACAGGCTTTGTTTCATTAAACAAATTATAATTTATTTTTCTCTATTTTTTTTCCTTTTGATTTTGTGGTGAAATCTGGCCTGTACATCAGAAAAGAGATTTACCCTGTTTCCTGTCGACCGTGTGCCCTCTTAAGTGTTGTTGAAGTCTTGTGTACCTCACCTACTCTCTCTGCCTGTTTCTCTCTCCCTCACACTCCGTCACGCTTCCACGACCCCCCTCCCCCCGAGTCCCCCCACCACACACACACTCCACTCTGCATCGCTCGCCACAGCAACAGAGCCAGGCAGTCAGACTGCGTGCGGGACTCGAGCGGTGTGGCAGAGCAGCGGCGTGAAAGTGCAGAAAGAGTGAGACAGCGAGAGAAATAAAGAAAGATAGAAAGAAAGAAAGAACGAAAGAGAGGAGGCACGGAGCAATGGAGATGGAGGAAAGCTTTGATGCAGAGGGCAGTTTAGATGATGCCTCCTGTCTGTCCCCTCAGAGCCCAGGGTTCACCTCCCCGGCCAGGAGGCAGAATAAGGAAAAGGAGATCAAGGAGACCAAAATCACAGTGAGTATTGCTCACACACACAGACACCAACACAATTGACGTGTAGATGAGATGCTCTGTATGCTCCTAAATGCATCAGTCACAGCTATAATGATAACATCAACCAGAAAGAGCCAGGGTGTGCGAGTTTTGGAGAACTGGCCCCTGGGATTTCAAATCAGTGGTTGGCTCTTTCCCTGAAGTGTTTTGCAGATGTGAAACATCTGCTCAGTGTTTTGTGCCACTCTCTTCACTGTTTCGCCTGTGTGTGTGTGTGTGTGTGTGTGTGTGCGTGTGTTTGTGTTTGTGTTTCACAAGTGATGTTGCTGGACGTTTGTGTGTGCGCTTCTGAGAGTGTGAAGATGCACTATGACTAGTGGATTGCATCACCACTGTTTTGCAATACCATGTTTTAATGGATTCACCAACATGGAAGCGTTCATTGAAATAACCATTCCGAGATTTAATTGCAATGATGGAACTCCCGGGAACTGCTTTGAATGGAACCAAATGGAATAATACAGAGTGGAAAATACATCTGATTTTCTTTTCAACACTTTTCAAGAACTGCTCCGTGTTCTTACATTAAAGGGGTCATATGACGTATGAACATTATGTTGTGTATTTGGTGTAATGCAATGTGTTTATGTGGTTTAAGGTTCAAAAAACACATTCTTTTCCACATAATGTACATTATTGTTGCTCCTCTATGCCCCGCCTTTCTGAAACGCATCCACCAATAAATCCCATTATAAACGAGGCATTTGTTGCATCCAGTGGGGACATAATTACTGATTATAATGACTTATACTGTCTTTTTATGCATTGCGTTGCGTATCGCGCCGCATAAACATAAAACCATGGGACACACAGATTTGATCTTAGAGTGTGCGTACGCTAAAATCCACGGCAACGTTCATATTTATAAAAACGGTCTTTGACGTGGAAAAGTACTTAGCGCCACGACAGGGTCTGAGCAGGCGTACGCACTTTTTGTTACATGTTTTTGTGCGCACGTTCGTTTTCTCTTAATTGCACTTACACACTTTTGAGAAATTATCTTAGAACAAATTTAGGATGGTTTATACGCAACATTTTATAAATGAGGCGCTGGCATTTTAGTCTAACGTAACTCTCTCAGGATCAGTAAAGAGTCCTCCATAAAATGTGCTGCACACATCTGAATAAGAATAAAGAACTGTTCTGGAACAGTGTTGTAAATACAACTTAACCACTGATTTCTAGTTGTATCCTCTTTTGGAAGGCCAAACAAAGTAGCTTTCACAATGAAACACACAGCGTCACACGGCGAGCTTGAGTGAGCGGCGGCCGGCGGGCTTGAGAACGGCGCGTCCGGCGGATTCGACGAAGGAGCGGCTGGCGGGCTTGCGGCAACCACATGTGACGACCCGACCCCCGGGATTCTGCTTCATCCACGGTGAAAGCTGATCCAGCGATCCACAGCGCGAAGTTGATGTATTTCCTCAGTGACCAGCACGGATCAGCTCTAGGCATGACGAAGCGGATATCGTCCTCTTTTGGAAGGCCAAACAAAGTAGTTTCGCTTTCACAACGAAACACACAGCGTCTCCATGACATGGCGGCGGCGGCAACAACAATACTACAGCGAGAATAAAAGTTACACCTTCTTTCTTTGCGTGAACATTTGGGCGGTGTTATGCAAAACTTCCCACACAGTGATGTAGACATGTGGGGGCGTGATTAAACGAGGCGTTTTAGGAGGTCGTGGACAAGTCTTAACTTTTATAAAGAATATCTCTTTGGGTTTGAGACTTTAGTCTTTGCAACTTTAGGGATCTTATCTATGCACGAACAGCTTATAACACTCCAAAGAGAAAGGAAAATTTGAAATTGCATCATATGACCCATTTAAAAACATTTGCCCACTTCCCAAGAGACCGCTTGCTATTCCAAATGTTGTTGAGCAGTGTCCAAGCGCACCACGGAAGAGATTATTTTGAATGCCATCACAAGCTGTGTGGATGCTCTGTTATGTGACATGGCTGATGCTTGACAGTAGGAATCTCGTGCACGTACGCGGCGCTCACAGCCATGCCACTTATTTTCAAATTATGTATGCAGTGTGAGTGCGGTGACATGGCTTTGCAGCTGTATTCGAACCCTGCTTTGATCCAGCTTCACCTGGAAATGTCGCAAAAAACTGTATGCTCACACAACTGATGGGCTTTTGGCTTCATAGGAAGCTTTCAAGAAACTACTTGTGTTGCAGTGCATTTGGAAACGCTGTTATGATTCATAAAGCGGTGCACAGAAGGTCAGATGTTGCAGCCGCATGCCACTGCGGGTCAGATTTATTCACACCAAAACTCCCGCAGTATGCTTTGCTTCTGAATAAACCTGAACATCCACTTTGAGAGTAGGAATGATTTTGATGGGCAATTCTCATTCAAAAAAAGCACTTTTGGTTTTAGCTAGTGCCTGTGGTGATGGTTGGCCACTCTTTATGCAGTTACTACATAGGCATTCACAGAGGTTATTTAAGGCAGGCTTGCTGTTATGTAACCTGTAGTGTGAATATGGCAAGAGATGTACAGATATTCTGGTGTGCGTATAGGGCAGGTGAGGTGTCAGTCAGAGGAGAGAATCAGAGACCGCCCACCAGGGAGAGGGAACTAGAGAAGCCTAGAGAACCGGGGAAGACATGTCTAGTCCAGTTTCCATGGTGACAAAGGCAATAGTACTGACTAATGGGTATTGAAATAAAAAACACACACACAAAGAGGGGAAAATGAACGAGAGAGCGAAATGGGTGGAATGAAAGAAAGCTGTCATTCAACCTGTCACTGTTTGTACAGAGAGGCAGCATGAGGCATGTTTAGTATGCTGCAGATTTAGCGGCAGGTATAGACCGACTGCTCTAGTATTCATACTAGGATTCATACTCTAACAAAGGAAGTCTGATTGCTTATTGAAGTGTAAGGGATAAAGCGCAGTCATTATGGCCAAATAAACCCAAAAAGGGGTTTTCCTGATAATGAACGAATGGATGTACATTATTCCAGTTATTACACAGTTGCTTAGCAAATAATTAAATAAATGGACAAGAGATATTGATTTGTGTTAATTATTATTAATAATTATTAATTATTTTATACTGTAAAGAAAAGAAATGTAACCAGCACAGATATGTTGAAAACCAGTTTGTTTATTAACCATTATATTAAATATATAATTGCAGAAAGCTAGATGTCATATCTACATTAAATCATACATTATATTGTACATTATACAAATATATGTGTGTGCATGTTTTATATACCGTATATACTGCATATACATACACACATACATACATACTATTCATTAAAACTATATATACATATATACAATATATGTATACATTTTTATATTTGTATACATAAAAATACTTATGTATAATAATTATGTATTTGTATACGTTACAATAATAATATATAAATAATAATAAAACAATTTTTAAATATCAGTATATAACAGAACCACTTACATACCATGAAATATACTACAATTAATATACTTATATTATTAATACTATAATTATATACTATATATACTGTGATTAATATACTGCAGTTTTACTATAGTACTGCTATACTAGTAGTATAGCTGATACTATATATACACATACATACAAACTATACAGTACAAAAATAAAATCTAAAAAAGTTAGACATTATACGAACAATAATAATATATAAATAATAATAAAACAATTTTAAAATATCATGACATAACATCCCCAATTACATCCCATGATATGTGTCTATGGCAATCAAACTGCATTATGGCATATAAACAAATACTGTAGTTTTACTGTAGTACTGATATACTGTAGTATATCTGATACTATCACTGAATCATGGCACTGTTTTGTATCTTGCTGAAATGCATCATTTAGCTTAAATCTGGCTAGAAATATCAATATTACAAAGCGCATTACTGAAAGTGTAATGCATATATGGATTTCTGTCTATATTACAAGGTATTTTTAGCTCTCTCTCGAAAACGCACAATGATTCTACATGACAACCACTGAATTGGAGACACGTTGAATCAATAGCGTGAGGTTGTTGGGGGTTTGAAAGGCTGGTCTAGAAGCTTTTACCTTTTGCCTCACCTTGAGTATCTTTTGAGTATCACTAATGTGGAACCAAAAGCATGTCATTTTGGCTGACTGATTCATGCTCACTCTCCGTCCTGATGCAATTTACTGCACTTCAAATAATAGCTAGCTGTCAACAGCTGGTCATAGTGCCAGCGCTTGTAAACAACTGAATATTTTGAACTAGAAATATATGGAGGCCACATTTTCGAAATGTTTGTTTGCGAAAATGTTTTGCACTTAGAAATGATGTCATACATTATTAGTATTGTACAAATACTGTTTTGTAATGGGGGAAAATGCCCTTACAGGAAAAGTAATTTGTCGCTTAGCAACAGAGGCCAGGCACCCTACAGTCTGAGCAGTGGTTGCGGCCTCTGTATGTACGTATATATGTATGCATGTATGTATGTTGGAGTGAAACCTGCTGACCGGATTGGTGTTTTGTAGATATATTTGTTTGCTTGCCTGGTGATTTTGTGTCCCTCATGCATGCTGTATGCTATCATTAGGTCTGTGATATTTGCGACTGTTCAGCAGAAATGGTTGGTTTCCAGCAGCCATGTTCATTACGCCATTAAAAGAGAGTGGGGCAGCGGGTTCATGGGCCGGTGCCAGACATACGCTGGGCGCAGGCATTCTGCTTACCCAAACAAATACTGCGTCCGTTTTTTACCTTTCACTATACAAGCACTCACACACACACACACACACACTCAGGTTTGTTTTTGTGAAAAGTGGGGACATCCCATAGGCGTAATGGTTTTTATACTGTACAGTGATTACTAGGGAGATTTCATATCAGTCAAACACTTGCTAAATGTAAGATATAAAATTAACTCTCAAAGCATTAGTTCACCCAAAAATTAAACTTTAGTCATCAATTACTCATTCACTG